ATTTCCATTAGAACTGGGTCATCGTTCTTCCGGGCACGAAATATTGGACAGTAACCCATTAAGGCAATTCCTTTTTCTTTACAGTAGTTCACGATGTCTTCCAAGCGCCAATAGGGATTGAGCTCAATTTGATTGACAGCTGGAGTAGGTAGCCCCGCCTTTTCCATCTCTTTGAGGTGATTCACGCCAAAGTTGGACACACCAATGGATCTTGAATGAAGAATAAGTGCGAGTTAAGTAAATTAGGACACGAGAACAAATAAGTCAGGCTTCATCAAGAAAACGGTTTTCACTTCAAGTTTCAAGTTTCGATACTTCCATACTGTAAAAAAATTAAAATATAAATTTGAAAAATGTTGTCGAGGTTTGTGAACGAAAATCCACTGGGTTAAAAAGAGTCCTCATACCTAATCCAATATTTGACAGGAATTTAACTGGCGAAAGTTGCATGCAATTTATTTATGGAGTCAAGATGAATTTGAAACGTCTTGGATTCCTTTCGCTTATTTTTGTAATCAATTCTTTTTCGAAATGTTTCTTTATCAGAACTTACATGTAAATCTCTGGACGCTGGTCTTGTCAGAAACTAGAGGTTAGAAAAACTAAAATATAGAAATAAAAGAATAGAGAAACTTCCTCTGGCATATCAATTTTTATGTTTGTACCGGTTGTAATTAAATTCCATCTTTTAATTAACTATTTAGTCAGGGCTGTGTCTCAGCGCTCTTTTATGTCTGAAAGATGAATTAGTTCCACGGTATGCGCTCTTGACTTAAAACAATACTAAACTTTGTTAATACTCTGGTTATATAGCGCTATTTCCATCACTGTCTGATATCGATTAGCTGCCTTGTCACCAGGCGTCCTTGGTTTGAATGTGGTGTACGTGGAGTTATGGGCCTGTTTCACCTAACCTTAAGCACCTCGCTCCCTGTGACCAACGAAATTATTTCTGACGGCGCCCGGGCATGAGGCAGCAATGAATAATCAAACAAATGCATCTTATCTTGCTATAACAATGTTATTTTCTGTATCTTTATACCTTATTAGGCCTTGTTCCTTGAGTTTCATCATTGCTTTGAAGGAATCAATGTTTTTTCCAGAAGAGGGACTATGGATTAGGTACAAATCAACGTACTTTGAGTCAAACCTGCAACGACATCAATCAGTTGTTACATCGATCAGTCTGCAGCGCAAACGATGCTTTTTGGGCAAGTTGCTCAAAGTAAATTAACAGATCAATTTCGAACTTAACAAACGGACCAGAGCTCAGGGCTTTCATACAATTGGCTTCCAAGGTGTTGAACATTCGGGCTGCGAGATTTGGAGCCGGAAAACTCTCAAGGTGAAACTCCAGTAATTCGCTTAAGAGCTCAAAACAATGTACGACACAGAGCTAAACAAGTTGGCAAATAATTCAATACGCTTCCTTTGATCCCTCCCTTCATTTATCAACCAGCCTTGTTACACATACCTAAACACGCCTAAGTTTGAATTGAGTCGGAGAAATACAATAGAATGAGCATTCTATTGCAGTTTCTATTCAACTTACTTTTGAAGACTCGCATTAAATTCTTTCAGACATTCATCGTATCCATGACGTCCCGTCAAAAGTTTGGTTACCACAAATATGTCTTCTCGTTTTACTCCTGATTCCTTGAGACCTTGTCCAACTTCAGCTTCATTTCTGGCAAAAAATCAATAATTTTATTTAAATCTTCAATGAGATTGGTATGGGCCTTTTCAGGGGGGGGGG